ATTTAAGTAGAAAGGAGTTACGAAAGGATGATATTAATGCAAGAGTTTGCTGATATCAATACAGAACTACAACGTCTTATATTAATAAATAAACGTTTGTAACGAAGATAGTGAATATTATATCGAGAGTCTCAGTAAACAATTATAAAAGTCGAGAATCCAGGAAAGGCATACTTTCTTGATGATTGACGAAAAATATATGGGTTCTTTTCTATAAAGTGAATAAAGGTATTCAATTATGTTTTTAGTTCTTTTAAATATACATTAAAATATAACATTGTTGGATTAAATTTGAGACAAAATATATTAAATTTGTGATGTTTGTCCTGTATGACCCTTGCGTATTCGATGGGGAATGTCTGTCGTCGAGTAATCACATATTTCGACGTCCATAATCAAAGATGAATATATATAACTTACATACATATGTTTTATATATGGACAGTTTTATTGATTTTTTGAAAACATTCATAGCATTTCCATTTTTCTTCATTCACAGTTTACCCTAACAAAATTTGGTTGGGCGGTACAGATATGTTTGCCGAGGGAAGGTGGGTTTGGATAGAAAATTAAGAGCCAATATCATATAACCACTGGTATATTGGAGGTAATCATGAACCAGCCGGAGGAGCAGGAGAGAATTGTTTGTTTTGGCTGAACTATCATGGATATTTTTGGCATGATGTTTCCTGTAAGAGTAGCTACAAATTTGTTTGTCAGCGGTAGGTACTTATAATTCGTTAATGTTTTGAGTATATCTTTTATGTATCTCCAAGGGGCATCAGCTACGATTTAAATAAAGTTGAATAATTTCTTTTGAAACATCTATAAAAGCGGAATTTAAAAAAAAAATAAAATTTTATAAGCAGTCAGCTTTGTTTTTGTCAACATAAGCTTACATCACTTAGTGAATAATACAACTTCATTAGAATCCGTTTTCATGCGACGTTTAATTTTTTTCCCATAGCTGGAGATGGTGTACGCATGTGCTAAGCATGTTCAGTTATTAAAAAGAAAAGCACATCAACATTGAAAGTGAAAAAGGAAGCAACGGGACCAACCACTTCGATGACCTATTCGACCCACACAAAAATCATTCTTATACGGGTAACAATGATGATTAACATATTTTTTTAATCAATGTCATGAAATCGCACAGACATAGAACAATCGTCATTTTACACTTGCACGTGGTTGTCTGTTTATTTATACCCATATGTTTTAATAGTTCATTTGTTTATTTTTTTTCAGTTATAGAAAGAAAAAAGAGCAGTGAAAAGTGAAAAAAAAGATTCTGTTTCTTGAAATAAAATACAAGACTAAAATTGATGTGATTTGTGGTATGGTTTTAAACAGCTACAACTTGCCGTCGATTTGGGAAGCAGGCTAACTTATTACCTCTAATATATAATCAACCATGCAGTCACATGGCTGCGAAACTCCGTACAGCGACGGTCCCGGCAATCTTCGGCTTTTATCATAAATAATCAACAAAAAAATTTAATTTCAAAATTTGGTTCCCCGTAGCAGATTCGGGGGGGGGGGGGGGGGGGTGGAGAGGGCGCTATTTCTTCCATTTCAAGCTATTACCTCACCCCTTTTATCTTCCTTCCAATTGCCATTAATTTTAATGTGTTATTCTGCTAAATATTGACCGATATTTTTTTATCTCTTCGGCTTTCGCTATTGTTAGTTGAAAGGAACCAGGTGTCTTAATTCATGAAGCGATCTACAAATAACCACGGGAGTTTCCGTGTTTATTTTACTTTGGTAGGTAGATAAGACATTCGATGTCCAACGGAACAAGCGATGGCAGCATCACAGATACCCCCACAAAGGAGTTATCACGTATTTGACAAACTGAGTCGGAACCTTTAATTTTCTAAGGAAATCAGTGTGATGGGAATGTACTAATTTTTCGTTGGAATTCCTGTCAATATAATACATTCATGGTGCAACGTAAATAAAAATCTACCTTAAATTTCCTCGAAAAATATTTAAAGCAATACTTATTATAAAGAAGAATACATTAAGGACTGGAAATTTATACGAACTCTAAATGAATAACAAAAATTAGAAATTCTGTGAAAAACAGTTATAATAGCCTTTCAGTCAAATTGCCATTTCAATAACCCCAATTTATTTTGTGTTTGTATTAAGTCACGCTTTCTGTAAAATGTGTTGTTAGCTGTTGTTCCTCGTTCTTTGTATCAGGGTTCGATGTAATCGCGTGTTGGTGGCTGATGTGATTGGTTGTACTGTGGTATTTTTGATGATTCCTGTTATCCCTTGTTCTATCCTTCCCGAAAATTGTATAGGTTGCATAAATATAACATTGAATTAATAAAAAATGAAATGAAAAACTGTAGTATGAAAAAGATACTGTAACGGAATATAATATGTCTTTTTAAAACAATAGATCTGCAGTTGCACATCTCACAGATCAGCAGCTAGGTTAATTGTTAATCTGGAACTTTATACTCACATTTTTAATCATGGTATCAGCTTATTTACATATTAGTAAAAATGCACATTACTAAAGCATCATTTTGATAGAACAGCGTGTTAAAAATTCTAATAATAAAAGTATTCACTCCTTTTATTTTTTTTTCTAGAAAAAACACAAAACAAAAACAATATATTTAAATGATAAATCAGCAAAATCAAGAAAGTATTTTCAACATTTTGGTGTGACACATTTTGTGTATATTAAAAAAAGATACCAAATTATTTCATCGGTATATGAAACAAATTTATTATTTGAAAAACACCTTTGATTGATCTGTCATATTGTACTTTCGTGTCTTCAAAATATCTTACTCAGAACTGCAGAAGAAGACAATTAGGTTTATGATCAATTTGCGTTTCTGTTTCCATTTTTGTGTCTTTCGTCGATGATGTTATTTTTTTTCAAATTAATCACCACTGTAATTTTTTTGTAAGACGTAGTTTCATAAATAAAAGAAACATGATCGTTTCTTTCGCCCTAGAAAAATATAAACATTTGTTACACATTTTGCCGAATGACATATAATTTGGTTACGTTAAACGACGTGTATTGAGCAAATAATGTGGCCGTCAATATGTATAGGAGATCAAGAAGGGTTTGTCATTTGATAATCTTGCTATGCGTATGCAATTGTACAGAACAACATTTTTAGTATCATAGAACCAGTGTTTCAAAGTTTTATATATCTGACTTCGTACAGAAGTTGATCCTTAAAGTTTGGAGTTTAAAATTGGGATCTCATCCAAAATCAGTGGCAAAATTTCATGTGTATTGCCACTAATATTAAACTTTTTAGTCAAAACATGTTTATAATTATACCGAATATACCGAATTAAACTTATCACTGGGTTTGTACTTACATGAGCAACACGACGGGTGCCACATGTGGAGCAGGATCTGCTTACCATTCCAGAGCACATAAGATTACTGCCGGTTTTCGCTCAGTCTTTAATTTTCTATGTTGTGTTTTGTAGACTGTTGTTTGTCTTTTGGTCTTTTTCTTCTTTTTTTTTTTGCCATGGCGTTGAGAATTTTTTTTTCGTCTTATGAGTTTGAAAGTCCCTTTGATATCTTTCGTCTCCTTCTTATAAATATCTGAATAAAAGGTAGATTCGGCAGTTTCGTTACAAATACAATGGGTCGATATTCGTTTTTGGAATCTTTAAATTTTAGTGCCGACATGTTGAAGTGATAGGGTATAAAATTATGTCCGATAAGTTTAGATCTAGCTGTACCAATAAACAAAATATTATTTGTTTTAAACATGTTAAAAGCTACTGACTGCTTATACTTGCATGTTCTCAGTGAAATTTATAAAGGGAAATGCAAGAATATTTTTTCGAATGGAAAATGAAGCTAGGTCTTAAATCTTGCATGTTCCTATAAATATCCTAATTTAAATACAAACAAACATGTTGCACTGACCCGAAAACGTGTTATTAAGGGGATCTAGGCCAACCTTTCTGATCCGTTTATTCCTCGGAACCTAACTTCGTGTATTTTTCTAATTGAGGGACTGGCTCTCGGACTCCTTCTTCTTAATTTGGAAGACGTTGCATTTATCCTTCCATGAGTAAAAAGATTGCGTTAAATATTTGTCACTGGACATCACAGTAACATTCAATCAATGAGTTGATTGATATCAAAGATGTGTCTTTTTACGTTATGAAAGTGTCAATCAATAAATTATTCGATCAAGCAAACAAACCGATCCAATCAATCGATTAAAGAATGTGAAATTCATCAAATATGACAGTATGCAAAATTTCAATCTATCATAAAATCTACCCACCAACCAATCTATATGAATAATTTGTCACTTGGTAAAATGCATCAAATTTATCAACCAACCAAGCAAACAACATATAATCATGCTAGAAAAGGTCGAAAGACCTTTCTCAAAATGTATTAATATTGATTGGAAGCAATGTTAAAAAAGCCGTTGGTGTGCAGAGTAAATAAATAATTAAATTTATACTTTTGAGAAGATCGATAATTATATGTCTCAACTGTAGACTTTCGACTCTCAATTGTACATTGTAAAACATTTATCTAGCATCTCTAATAGGCCGAAAGTTAGAAAAATAAATCCAGGGTGTACAACTGTAATTTGAAAACGAAGTTTTAAATCATGCTGCACACCCCTGAAAGGAAACAGATAAATCGACTTAATACCAAAGTAAAGGTTTTAAAAAAGGCATTTTCTCATTCCTATGAGTGACCATTCGTGTATTACAAAATATGTAATAATTCAAAACTTACACATTGTGCAAATATACCTTCAGTATGTTCGATGTCTAGTAATCATTTCGTTCTTCTTTATTCGAATCTTTTTACATCAGATAGTTTACAATTAAGACCAAAAATAAAACAAATAAACAGGTCAAAGATAAATTATGTGACCTATTTCATTTGATATGAATGCGAAAGCTCGTGAGAAAAATATATAACTTAAAAAATAGGGGAACCAAAGATAGAAACAATGAAGACACAAAGTGAAAATGTATTAGTAGAGGTATATTATAGTATTTTAAATAACAACATAAATGTTCAAGAAAGGATTCCGAAAAGTTTTTTTTTCTCAATATGCCATTTAGCATTTCACCTCAGATTTATTGTTAGAAAACAATGCAATATGAAAATAAATCTAATTTAATAAATATTTCAATTTAACCATCCTTATACCTATTCTTTTGCAATAGAAAAGAAAGAATAGGGTGTATCAAATCATGAAACGAAATCACTACACGAAAATGACCAAAAGCAGAGTAATGTTTATTGCAGCGTTTAATCTCAGTCAGAGTGAGATGTAAATGCTAATTCACAGGTTTGTGCGGAATATTTTGCTAGATGCCTATCCCATTACATTACATATGTCCATTGAGAAAAACAGAAAGTGGGGTGTTATCAGCTCACTGTTTTAGTGAGAAATACAGATGTAATGTAAACATTGTCTGTTCAAGCAAATATATTACAAGCAGTAAGTTAAGAAGTTAACATTTTCTTTCAAGTTTTTTGTCGATAATTGTATCTCTTATAATATTTATTAAATGTACATAATATATCTAAAGTCACAGTATTTCCAAATATCACTCATTTAACTATACCAATCTACTAGCATTAGCCTTTATTATATACATATTTTGATATGATTCAATCTAATCAATTAACAGGAACCCACACTTTTCATCTGTCACTTTTTCGGTGGAGAATCCCTTAAATATCTTCATACTTTTCAAGTTTTTGATTCAACTTGCTTTCAAGTTTCCCCATTTCAAGCAGCTCTCTTGTGTGACATGTTAATCCTAGTTTAAAGGCCAAAAGTTTTGATAGTGTTTCTAAGTCATTATTTTTGTCGTTGTAGTTTTGTATGCGACATTTGATATAGTTAATACACGCTCTTCTTTGATATTTGTTTAAATCTGGTTTTTTGTTGCCTTTATCTTCTAATTTCGGAATAAATTCCCTAAAACAGCATTCTGCAGTCGATATTTCACCTAGTGCAAGATATAAATCTCCAAGTGATATCATTAAACTTGGATAAGCTGTACTAGTTTTCATTTTTTGGATTTCCGCTGAGAGACTTTCTGCCCATTTCAAACCAACAGAAGAAAATTCTTTATTCTTTTTCAATAATAGTCGGTATATTCTTGTTATCTGTTTTAACCAAAGCATTCTATTATAATCATTTTCTTCTGTGCTCATCTTAAGTATGCCGAACTCCATGTAATGTTTTTTTTCATAAAATCTAGCTTCACAAATTGCAAGATTCTTTTTTAAAACCTCAGAGCTGGGTTCATTGAATGCAAGTGTTGGGTCCATCGTCGACTGGATTACACTTCTCTCTGTAAGCATAGTTGACAAAATGTTAAATGTTTTAAGATCACTATAAGTGTCTGCGGGATGTCGAATTGTGTTAGCTACGAAATCATCGTTGATGTTTTGCTCTCCCATTACTTGTGGTAACTCACTGGATTTCTTTATTAGTAAATTTGTCATTTCACCTGCTTTATTGTAACAAAGGTATGTAGGTAATAGATGTGCAATGTATAAATACACACAGAAGTATCTTGCTTCTTTATGTTTACTGCTTCCCGGAAGATAAAACATCCTTCTTCCACACGTATAAAGAACTGATGTGACAATTTCATACACGAAAATAGGTCCTAAATAATCCTCTGGTATCGCAAACCCTTCTTCACAAAGTTTTTTGTATTCATCTTCCGATAGCTTTGGACCCGTTTCAAGATTCCTCTTCCCTAGCTTACTTCTCAATAATTCGACATCAGCCATATTCCGGTTTTTATACAGCAAAAACTGTTTGGCAACCTTTTCTACTACATCAATTTGATCTGTACTTTGAATGAAAGACACAATCGCTTTACATATATGTAACGAATATTGTTCTGCAATTTTTTTCATAGCTTCAATATCAGTTATATTTTCGCATGATTGATTTATTTCTTCATCAAATGTGTCTTCATCTATGCATAGCATTTGAAACAAGAGGTATTTGGCCATTTCAAAATACTTATTTGAAGACGTGCACGTTTCAATGAAACCGGATGTAAATCCCACTAGATCATTCATGTAGATCATCTTCAGAACCAGTTCTGTATTGGTAATACACCAATTTGACGTTGAACTTGCTATTTTGGCATAGACGTACTCATTCAAATGATTAATAACGGACCGTGTGTGAGGTAAAAGTAAGGTATGATGTTGGAGACTGGATCTGCTTACATTATCTTTATCCATTAATAGGAAAAACGATCCTAGTAACTTTTGCAAGAGATCTTCTTTTGACCTATGAATGTTTGTTCCTTTGTATTCGCAATAAATCTCCAAGGCAAACACGACCACATCATGGGTACTCAATAAGCGATAATCATACATACCATCATCTTCACCCTCAACTGTTCCAAATGAACAGTTTTCCACTACGTAGAGTAGATCATCAGTATCCATTCTGGAATTCTTAACATTGATATTTGAGAAAATTGTTACAGGAATTTTTTCAACCTGCATATATTGTAGCATCAAAAACATTTCAAATATTTCTTCTTTTTTATCCTCTTGATATTTTTGATGTATTTCACGTAAAATGCTGATTAAAAGCGAAAACATTTTATCTTTTACTTTACTCTTTACGGCACGACTTTCTTCGACTTTCAAAATATCCGATGGTAGTTTCAGTCGCTCAATGATACCACCAATTTTCAATCTGGCATATTTCATGTAGGTTCGAACAATCTGTAATGCTTTTGGATTGCAACTTAACTTTCGTGAAAGGATACAAGAGCCTTCTTTTTCATCTGGTGTCAGTGTTTTCCCCTCTCGTATAAAATCTAACGCCTCTTCTTCTGTGAAGCCTTTGATATCAATTATACGTACATCGTCATCTGGCTCAAAAGCAAGTACTGTTGTAATAATACATTTAATGTTGAATGTCCGTATGCATTTCTGAAAAATGTCATCAAGTATGTCTCGTGTTATGTCTTTAACGTCATCAAACAGAAAGATGTGGCTTCTATCGTGCCTATCATTCTTCACAGTTTCTACTATAACTGCAAATAACTCGTCTATAACTTCATCTTGAAACTCCTCGTCTTGTTTTGGTGGTATGTCATGAATATTAAGATAAGGACAAATATCGCGCAGTGATTTTTCAAGTGAGGACTTGTCTGTGCTTTTGAAATTCCAAGTGTCTACTACATTTTCTGTTTTTGAAGCATTGTAACAATATCTAAGTGCTAGCTCCGATTTTCCGGACCCAATTATGCCTAAAAAATACAAAAAAAAACAATGATTACTCAAATACATATATACCATAAACCATGACCAAAACTGTTAACTTCACTGTATCGCATATACAGTAATGCTCGAAGCCAAAATATTTGAACATCTAAAACTTGATACAAACTTCAAAGAGCTGATAAAACAGAAAAGAGTCAATTGTATAGCTTAACCCATACAAGCAATCTGAGCTCTGTTCGAGATCAATTCCGTAATGCCAAACGTTTTCCAATTTTTTATTATAACTGCCAACTTGGAGTGTATAGCATCAACTCAAACTAAAACGTCTTGCGCAAACATAACAAAATGTTAATGTTTTGCTTATCAGCATCTGAATGTTAAAAAACAGTATTGAATTTATAAACATCAACCTCTGGACAATTTTTGTGGGATTCGAATTGCTCAATCTTCAGTTTTCTGTGTAGATACTTGTAAACTTCTATTTTTCGTTTACTTTTTGGACATGGTTTTGTTCCTTTTATTTGACTTATAGTTTTTTGATTGCTTCCGTATAACCATGATTATATTATACACACAACAATGAGTATTTTTCATAAAAGCAGATATTGTGGCTTTTGAGGTAATTTCATTAAGCAGTTTTGCAATTGACGTCATACCGGGAGTTGATATAAATCGTCGTCACAAATATATAATATATTTATATATATATCCTGTATATATTGTCAAACATTTATTTCTGATAAAAGAAAAATCTATCTTTTCATAAATACAACTCCCTTGTTGCCGTTAATGCCATGTTATTTTAGTTTTATGTTCAGATAAAGTAAAGCAATTTCAACGTTAAAAAATTTCTCAATGTAGGTACTTTTATCCAAATTTGTTGACGCCTGCTTAACAATAAAACAAAAAGGCCACAATACATTTTGAAAACAACCCACCACCCAACCTTACCATTTACCTAACCCACCCATCCCCTCTTTGCATATCCAGACAGTACTTAAACTAGCAATAATATGTTCATCATAAAACTTAATTGAATTCATGGGATTCGTGTATTTGTACAAGTTGTATTTTTCATAGCATGTAAAAAAACGTTATATCTTTAATAAATTTTGTATTTCAATGATACCAACTTACCTTTAAGAACAACACACTTCTTGCTGGTCATAAACTCAGTTAATAATTCGTAATTCTTTTTAGTGAAGATAGGATTTTGCACAAGCTGCCTCTCTGTTATATTTGTAACTGTGAATATTAAGACAAAATCATCAGATTTGTACATGGCTATCATTTTTATTCCTTTAACAAAAGATAAGCTAACTCAAAAGATAAGAAAATACAGGAACTTCAAAACGGCATGTGCAGTTATCACAACTTTTTGTTGTATTTTTGTAGATACAAGAGTAAGTTTATATCATTCCTTTCAAGTAAGGCGACAGTAGTTTACTGATGTTCAAATCTCGTAAATCAATTAGGAAGAGACAAATCAAGGTAACAAATAGAATCGGAAGTAATCACATGAATAACAAGAAGAGTGAGACTTTAAAGTCAGTAAATTATATCTACTATCACGATTTCTTTCTTTGAACTCGGACAAAAAAAATCAGGATGAAAGATTGCCATATACCATATACACATAAACTACCTTTAGCAACTGTCTTCTTTTCTTGTTTGTCGTTAAAACTAAAGGTTCTTTCACCTTTTTCTTTGTGAATTGCATCTAACTTCTCGCTTATTTGTTGTAAATCTGCTTTTGTAGCTGGGCATTCTACATGCAAATATAATGAGAGCAGTGTGAAATATATTAAAATGTATAAATATTTCATGTATAAGTTAAAAGGGATCAGTTATATTAAGGTAAAAGAACGAAAAATAAAGCAATAAATAACATGAATAAACAATTGAGATAGATAATAAAAAGTAGCTGAGAACTGAAAATTTTGACGAGAAGTCCCTTGGCATAAAAGTATAAATAAAGAAAACACATTTTACCACTTGGACAATAGGGAAAGTTTGACTAAAGAATTTTGGGAGCATGAGTTGGGGCTGCCAGTCCGCCTCTTGTCTTTTTGAATTGCTTCAAATTATTACAATATGATCTATCAAAAATTAAATCATACGAACAATTTTCTCATTTTCAATCGATTTCTTCAAAGTTTTGAAGAAATCAAACATTTCTCTGTATTTGAAAATTCCATAAATATTGAAAAACCGTATGTAAGTGAAAAGTCACGCACACTGACAGAATTGTAATTAAGGATTGCATGTAGAACTGACGGTTTAAATTTTTAGATATCCATGACAATATTTAGAAAGTATTAACCTTGAAAAAAGTCCATATTGTTGTTTGTTTCAAAATTGATATATCAATTAACGAATCAAAACATTTTTTGCTGATTTTTATAATATGTTATTATGTTGTTTTGTTACACATCAGTGTAAGGTAAGGACATGAGCCCTCATGAACCTGTTTATACCCATCACATTCTGTATGTGACGGTACCAATCAAGGAGTCTATAAATAAGTTGGTTTTCTTTTGTTGCTGTCTAATAGCTTACAATACAGTATGCATTTTATTTATTGTTGAAGGCCCTACAATGACATGTAGTGCTCACATATTTAGCCTTTAATCTATAGTTGTAGTTGTCGCTTTGAACTAAACCACATATCCATGTTTTCTATAGATTCACTGGAATAATGCCAAACGTAAAGGTAGGGATAGATACTGGACAAACGAACTTATTGTGCTTCATCTAAATGTCATCAACCGAAAGAAATAGCAGTTTTTGTTCTTCATAGATGCGTTTATCATGTTATATTTATATTATATATAATTCTTTTTATGATTTGCATAACTACAAATACTTGGATGTTATTGGTCCTTTAATTTTGGATATGTTTTTCCTTAGTTACAATTCGATAGACTATGTTGCAGAAACAATTTTTGTAGCCAATGTAAACCCTATGTCGACTTCTCTGTGATATATTCATGCTCGATACACATGAATGGAATCCCGGTTTCCAAAAAAGTTGAAATTGAACGAAAAATAACAATTGTTTTGGTTGAAAATCATAAGGATTAAACATATCTTATTTTTGATCTTATTGATGTGTAAACTGGGCCGCTTACTCACCAACGTTACATAAAAGTCATTTCAACTTTTATTCAGTTTGTGAAATATTCGACCCCAGTTTACACATCAATAACCTCTAGAAAAAATGTTTTCATCCTATAATATTTACATGTGCTACTACATGTACATTTTGACATCTTTGGTTTAACAGTCATCTCAACATAATGTTGAGTTGGGATGGGTTTTGTGTATGATTAAAAATTGATAACAAAGTAACCTGTATGAGTGAGCTTTTTTAACACACAAATACTCGTATTGTATCATTGAATTTTGAAAATAAAGATTTCAACTGCTGCATTATCCTGCTCCTTATTCATTAGGACTTTACAAAACCGTAGACATGCTTGTAATAAAAGCATTCTTTTAAGCCAGTATCAAGCACAAAAGTTTGATTTCCGAGGTCAGGTTGTTTTATACAAATCATATTTTCTTGCCAAGCAGTTGAACGTTGGACAAACAAGTGTTTTACATATGAAGGTTTTTGAAAAAAATACTGTAAAGAATAAGGTATGTGCCAAACGTATAGTAGGGCAATTGTGTAATAATAGACCTCGACGTATATCATGCAAATATTGATATGTTAATTTGCAGTGTATTTAGTCTGAGATGTCAACGAGTACTCGCATACTTGATTTTCGCTCGATAGAACCGAGTATCGAATGATAAGATGATACTCGACTAATTGGTTTCCTGTTAAAACATTATACCCTTCTTTTCATAAAATTAATTTTCTTATGAACGCTCCTCGGAGAATTTAATAGAAACCACTGATTAATGATAGTTCAAATCACTTCGTATCTTTATGCTAAATTGTCGTTAAAAATGAATCTGAAATACTAACTGGAAGTTCCTAGATATCCCTAAAAGTGGTGTGATAGCAGATATCTAAAATACTTTTAACTAAACGTGTATCAATCAGGAAAACAATCGTCGCACTAGTGACTTCTAATAATCAAATTCGTAAATATGTTATCTTTACAATTACAAAATATAACTGCTGTTTTATCTGGTTTGACTTTGCCAACATTTATAATATACAATAGGTATTTATTAAATTATTGATTAGATTATTGTTTACATGTAGTAAATAAGCTATTAATAATGATATAACATTTCCTGTGACTCTTAAAACTAGAGAGGGTTTAATATTCATTAGAGAATGAAAAAAAGTACAAAAAGTGCATTAGTATGTTCCTTTGTTGTAGATATTTTTCTGAGCGAGTACTCGAGTATCGCTCGGTACAGCCAACCAGTACTTCATTAGCAAATCATCACCGTGTTGTCATTCCTAGTTTGTACACATGCATTTTATTCATATTCACAATAAAATAGTCTTGACCAGTATTGTCCGTTATCAACAAATATGTTATGACCAGTACATTCTCTTAAATATGGTTTAAATATCAAGGTTGTGATTTTACAAAATCCCTATCAATATGTTAAGTTATTCTATAAACGTCCTAATATTTTAGTAAGTTGACAAAATAATTCAAACTGCTTATGATTTTTGCAAACTTCTAAATATTTAAGGGATTTTACAAGTTTACTAAAAGACTTATATATTTAAATACAGGTACAATGGCAATATACCTTTGTATAATTTTATAAAATCATGTTTCCATTGTGTAATATTCGTATATTGTAGAACATTTCCATTGTTGTCTGTATAAAATGACTCCGGAACGGTTGTGAACACACCACCAGGCATTTCAGCAACTGATACAATGATGACCCTTAGTCTTTTCCCCTGAAATTTGAACAGCTATGTTTAAACATCAATTGAATTTCGAATCAGTCAAGTGAACAATGTTGTAATATGCCTCACATTTATAGTGTGTAAATTTTGTTCTTTGATTTTCGTCATTGAAATGTCTGAGATACCCGAGAAACTCAAGTAGCCGTTTTCGAATCATCTGAATATGAACGAAAAGGAGATTGAAGTAACCGGGGGACATTCAAAAATGACGAGTTTAAAAATCAGACAACTTCATGCCCAAAAATGTTTTTAATTTTTAATTTGTAATAAACGAAGACTGCGTAGGAGGAGTCATCATAGTTAAAAGAATTATAATAAAATCATTGACGTAATATTAGTCTTCCACATGTTTTAGTTAAACTTTCCTGGCTTTCTTAAGCCACTAATTTATAATCGGGGAATGGTCTTTTATGATTTTCGTAAGAGTTCAGTTAGATGTTAGTATTTCATCTCATGCCAGAGGAGTTTTTAAATGTAGTTTTTAAATACTTCTGGAGTCTAGACTTAAAAACACGTTTAGGAGATAAACAGTGATTGTACAACAGTAATTTTGGACACTACCCCTGTGCAAAACGTTGACCAGACCTTATTGTTGAACGCATTCGAGACGTTGCTTATATAAACTTTTGATATATATTTAAAAACAATCCTACAGAGTGTGTATGCTAAAGAGGGCGTACAATGCAAATATCCATATACTTGTCATTTCAAAGGGACAACACTCCCTTGAAAATAGTATATCCGTGATTATTTTCGAACTTCTTTGAGACATGGCTGATATGTATAACCTTTGATAACAATGTTATAAAAAATAATTAGAAATTTTGAATTGATTTCCTTTTGCTTTTAACAAATATTTTAATCAACTAACCTGAGATACTGCTGACATCTCATCAATTTCTTCAAACCATATATCCCAATGTTTACCTTTCTCCATTGACAAGGGACTGTTTAACCACTGCATTTTGTTTATCCGTTCTTCCAACGAGTTAGCTGTTACATATAATTACTTAATGTAAGTTCAATCATTATATAAAATATCAATTATAATTCAAATCATCCAAAAGTTACCTAAACATTTAAGCAGAAACTTTTTTCGTTAAAATGGGACTTTATGAAATTTCCTCACAATGTTTGCAATATAATGCCCTTATGTGCCTCATCTATTGTTTTCGGTTCGAATTATTTGTTTATGGTTTCCCTTATTGAAGTATAGAATTTGCCTTTGCCGTATTATGGGGTGCCCATTTTCTGTCAATAAATCCTCCTTAACTCCTTAATACAATTTATTATCATCGACATTGCAAAAGTAGGGTGAGGCTTTTGTGAGCTTTGTTCGCAGTATCTCTAGTTTAGTTAAATATCCCTTTGGTTCGTTCGTCCTTTTTCTTTTGTAACAGTAGAAATCAATTTGGAAGTCGACGAATTCTTTTTGTTAAAAGGACGAAAATATGTTGTTAAAAAGATATGTATTGATCATGAGAAACTTTGAGGGAAATACATGTGGTTTAAATGGCATTAGTAGACGAAATGCGCATCTGGCGTACAAAATTATTAGCCTGGTTTATTTGATCCATAAAGAGTTCAACATATTAAATTGTATTTAAAAGGGCATTAGATATCATTTAGAGAGACCAATAATATTTTGCAATTCGCAGTCAACTTGTTGTAATTTTGTCAAAATGAGCTCAAAAACGAAATCGCTTATGTATTATTGGTTTGCAAATCAAAAATTCAACCTCATTTGAAACCGTATTCATTTAATTTTACCTCTCTGGAGACGGGTTGGCCATGATCTCTTCATGTTCAGTTATTAATAAAATAAAATGCTCCGCTGAGCACAGCTGGATACGACCGCACAAGTCAAACCTTAATAGTTTTGGCAAGTATGGACACTACATTTAAGCTTGATACAGCTCTGAATTGGGATTGTGATTAAATATTTGACACAAAATAGGTTTCTGACACAGAATGAATGTGGTCATAGAACTGAAAAATTTGAAATTGCACTTTTACCTATTATGTTCCAATATCCAAAATATAAATACATGGTTTAGATTCAGAATTTATCCAAGTACATCAAGAATTCAATTTATTTATTTATTGCTGGACATAATTAGCTGAGTTTTTAAACAGGTTTGCTTCATAAAATTTATTTTTTTATAAATAGAATTCTTCAAACTAATTAATACAGAATAACAAACAAACCTAAAAATGGACATATACCTTTTATTGTCCAATATCCAAAATATGAATACATGGTTAGATTCTTTTGGGCTCTTTGGTCCAGCTTAAAATAAGGAGATGTGATATGATTGCCAATGAGACAACTATCCACCAGAGTTCAAATCATGAAGATATAAGCAATTTTAGGTCACCGTAAGGCCTTGAACAATGAGAAAAAGGCCATACCGAAGAGACAATAATTAAAGGTCCGACAAGAAAAATATGAAACAATTCAAACGAGAAAACAAACTAATTTATATCAATACAATTTACGAAAAACAAGAAAAACAAATAAGACAGTCATGAACTAACGGCAACCAAGGATTGTTAATTGTTTCTTTTGAACTTTGTGTAATTTTGATATACGTTTTAGTATGTTATAAATCAAATATGTGAATTTGAGTCATATTGGTGGACATGAATTAGACAGCTAATGTCACTCTTGTAAACATACAATATAGACCTCTATTTATTTATAAAATGAAGATGCCAATTAAGATCGAGTTTTCTTCTAGATATACAAAATGAAATTGAGAATGGAAATGAGGAATGTGTCAAAGAGAAAACAACCTGACCAAAGAGCAGAAAACAGCCCAAGGCCACCAATGGGTCTTTAACACAGCGAGAAAAACCCGCACCTGGAGGCGGGCTTCAGCTGGCCCCTTTAACAAAAGTCAGTACTAGTTCAGTGAAAATGGACCTCATACTAAACTCCAAAACATATAAATGAACAAAAATTAAAAAAAAAACATACAAGTCTAACAAAGGTCAGAGGCTTCTGACTTGGGACAGGCGTAACAATGCGGCGGGGTTAAACATGTTTTGTGAGATCTCAACCTTCCCCTTTACCTCTGGCCAATGTAGAATAAACAAACACACAGCAATACGCACAGTAAAACTCAGTTGAAATGAAGTCCGTGTCCGATGTCAGAATAGGTAACAGAAGAAACTAAGCAAAATGACAATGATACATAAATCATTCTATAGTCTTGGAAAAAAAATTGTTTCAGGGGGTAAGTGAATAAAACATTACTTTATTTCCTTTGAAAATTAGGAAAAATATAAATATGATGTTGAGTTCGAATAATGTGACTGTTTGTAAATTACAGAAATAAGATTCAAGTTGAATTCAAAGACAACAATCTAGTTGAACTTTATGTGATTTTTTTCGCATTCTGCAAACTAGATGATCATGAAATAGTCCCGATGTTCCATTTTTTAGAATTTACAAAAGTGAAACACTACTGTACATGTTGAATATAAAAATAAGAAGATGTGGTATAATTGCCAATGACCCAAATGAAAGTCTCCACAAGAGACCAAATGACACAGAAATTAACAACTATAGGTTTCTGTACGGCTTAAGCAATGAGCAAAACCCATATCGCATAGTCAGCTGTAAAATGCCCATATATGACAAATGTAAAACAATTCAAACGAGAAAACTAACGGCCTTAATTATGTACAAAATAACGAACGAAAAATAAATATGATACACAAAAACAAACGACAACCACTGAATAACAGGCTCCTGTTTATGGACAGGCACATTCAGAATGTGGCAGGATTAAACATGTTAGCGGGCGCCAACCCTCCCCTAACCTGGAACAGTGTAACAGTACAACATAAGAACAAACTATCAAAATCAGTTGAAAAAGGCTGAACTCATCAGATGGATACAAATAGAAATACATCTAACAGAAACACAGAGTGGATGTCGCAGGGTACTTATACATCCCAACAACAAAAATACACTAAGTATAGATCTGAGAGTACTTATTACTGACAGGTAGTTCAAAGCCAATAACAACTAATAAAAATTCATGGATATAAGACTAAAATATCAATCAGTACACATCCAACATCGAATGGATTAGTGTATAGACGTCATCAACAGTCAGAGAAAAACATGACCTTGTGCAATGCCAAGATACAGGTATCGACAGATTGTAGAGCTATGAATGTGCATAATGTTAAGTCTATAAAAATAATATTTAGTTTGATTTTAATTCACTGATAAAAAAGTCAATATTAATACCAATAAAAACAATATTCAAAGATCTAATTACAGTGTTGAATTGGTTACCTTTTAGAATAAGTTTATTTAAAGGATCGATAAGTTTACCTGGATCGTATCTAAATTTCCTGGCTCGGTAAACAACATTTTCGTAAAAATAAGGATGTGCTATCCCGTTTGAAATAAGTTTCCTACTGGTTACATGTAATAGGTTGAATGGTAACAAGTCATATATTGATGGAGCTCATTGTTGTTTCATATATTACGGTTTTAAAGTAAAAAGACGACAATGGCAAATCGGTGGCACCACACGTAAAACGTAATATTGTTTTATTATGCTACAGTCGATTTCAAGGGCAACAATAAAGAGTAAATATGGCAATGTTGCGTATGCATATCTATAATTCCTTCGACTTATGGGTTTTAATGTCCCCTTATTTTTATAGGTTTCATTTAAGAAGAATATGTCTTCGCTATTACCAGTGAAAACTATCACAACTTGTTTTTTAATATAATTGATAATTACCTATAGTACTTTCATCGGTATTTGAAATATCTACACCGACAACTAATGCATGTTTATCTTCTATTCCGAAGTAAATAGATCCTCCCTTATGGTTAGCAAATGCTGAAATATATTTTGATGCCATATCAACTAGGGTTCTTGGGATGTTTTTCCCAGTTATTTCCTTGAACTGAATATCTACATCCTCTCTTCTCAGACCTTTAACGGTTCGATTGAGGACAAATGTTTTATCGTGATCAAAGGAAAGCTCACCAAAATGTTTATCCTGAGTTATGATTTCAAAAGCCTTCTCGTTTTTCACTTGATCGACTGACGAGACAGATGGGAAATATAAATGCGTATCCAATGAGCATAACAGTTTAGCTGGACGTATTTGTAAGGAAATATACGTCGAATTACAGTTGCTGGACCTGCTGAGCTGTATTAAATCAGTCGGAGTATCGAGAAAATATGATTTCATTTTTTTCTCTAGTCTGTCATACCATTCATCAAAATCTTTAGTTTTGGCAGTACTAAAATGTTTATTCTCCAATTTTAGTGAAATCGGTTTCTTGGAATTTAGACATGCACAAACTAACTGCAAGATGGCATCCACTTCCTTTGGTATTTTGTTTTTTATATTAATGCTTATCGATTGGTAGACATTCAGACTTTCAGCCTTATCTGTAAAAAATGTATTTCCAAATATATACTCGTACCAGTAAACTCGACAGATTTGATGATTCATGTATAACACTGTAACAAAATCCGTGCCTATTAATGCCAGTCCGCTTATAAAACTTTTTACTATAGTGTGTGTTAACATTTTGTGAGGGAATTCGATGTGTGCTATACCACGGTTCATTTCAAGGCACTTTATGACAATCCCACTATACCAATCAGAATGAAATTTTTGCAGTGTTTAAAGAAATGATTTTACTTTGTGTCCTTGTAATATTTGTGAAACATTGAATGTTTTAAATTGGCGAATTTTCTGTATAAAATCAATAATTATGTAGACTTTTGAAGCCCAATTTTTCTATTGCCTTAAATAAGCAAACGAAAGATCCAAAAACTATACCAATACAGAACGACATGTTTTTTTTAAATTATAGCAAAACTTTTGATTGCCAAATTTGTATTCGTTATTGCAAAAAATGAATTTAAAATATCTGTCATTTTCTCCCTACCCAGTTTACCCCTATTACTTATCATGATGTGGACCGGTCATTGTTGTTGAATCAAACGCAATTCGATTGGATTAAGTTATTATTAGTTTACCTCTAAACTGTTTTTTTTCATAGACATATATTGATTAAATCAGAACATGTATGAATGTGTACAATAACTTAAATGACCTTCAAACTGGACACTGGACGAGACCATATAATTTTTTATCAATGAAACTAAAGGTATGAAAGGTAAAAATTGCCACTTCTTACATTTTCACAAAATTTTCCACATATAGAGCAAATAAATTATTTTTTAATAGCCTATTCCGGAGAAAAAAGGCTATTAAAAAATAATTTATTCCATTAAAAAGTCATTTTTCGAAAAGAAATGCCGAAACACATTTTATGCACGGCTACATCAGGTAAAACTAATGTTTATCTTAACAAAAAAAAAGTTTTTTCTTTCTCAATATAATGTTATAATTACAATTAATCCCAAACAAAGGTAGTCAGTAAGTATGTCAAAATATGTCCGGTCTGCTTATTTTTGGACATCAAAATTCAATATGATCGTTTTAAGGTCAATTTCGTCTACCTCACAAAATCCTGATAGGCACTTTAGTATTTTCCGAAATGAGTAATATGTTAAATGTTTGATTGATTAATAAATTCTTTTGATTGTTTATTTCATAATACTCAAATCGTGTTCCCTAAATTTTGGTCTAAAAAAATAAACGTTGACTGTTGTTGCATGAGTTAATAAAACAAAAACCAATGAATGTTAGTTACAATTGAAATACATAAATTACTATCATCTCCAATGGAAATCACCAAATTTATATCTGAATAGTTGGAAAAGCGTTTATACCTTTTTGATAAAGGTTTATGAATTTGGGTGTGTCGTTTGTTTTAACAAGAAATATCAAAAAATGAAAATAACACTTTTTAAATTTCGTGTGTCTGTAACGTTTTTTTCTAGATTTACCTTTATATCTATCAAGAACGCTCAGATCAAGGATGTTCAGTCTCACTCCACTTAAGAATTATGCAAAAGGTTATTCATGGGTGAAAAGACTACACATTTTAATTTTGATATTTGTTGATAATGCAAGAATATATTCCAAAAAATTATCATTGGAGACATAAACTATATGAAATACACTATGAAAAGTTTGAAAAGGGAAATAACGCAAAAATATGCAATACATTCTTTTGTAAAAAAATCAAGTAAATTTTCTTTCATGATCAGGTAGTATGTGAATAGTTTTTATCCATTTCATCATATGCGACACTAAGAGCCCAGTAAAAGTTCGAAATTAAAAATGTGAATTACATTTTCATAAATTGCACGATTGATATGTGGACGACTACTTCATATTAGGTTTATTACGCATTTCTAACTACTCTATTTTATCTATTTATATAAGTTACTTTAACTTGTTCACCCGATAGTCCGTCTTCTGAAGTTTTGACATGTACTAATAATGGATTTTTAGTGATGTTCTTGGCGTACGTGATTGTTTAGTGTTTGTCCATCGACTTAAAATTAGTGAAAACAAATAGTAAATAATAATAGTTTAGGCAGGTATCCCGAGTTATACGCTGTTCAAGAGGATTGTCCTTTCGCCTTTTACTTCTTTTGATTACTTTTGATTTACACATGTAGATATATCTTATACTGTTTAATAGCAATAGAATGGGAAATAAACAAAAAAGTCTTATTGAAAAAATCCTCAGGTCAGAGTTATGTAATTTTGTTTATTATTTCAAGCAAATATCTGATAATTGTACATCAGATTAACTTAAATTATTGAATAATGAATGACATTGTGGTTTACCGATGTTAAAATCACGTAAATCGATAAGGAAGAGGTACCACTCAACCAAGGGAACAAACAAAAATGAGGGAATCACATGCAAGCCATAAGGATCAACACCGGGTGCTTCGACAGGGTTAGTGTCTCCTGCATAAAAGCATCATCCGCCATTCGATTTCACACTCAGTCAAAATCTCACAATCAGGAATAGAACACAATCGATAGAATTACAGATCAGACTACTTAAATGGTAACTAAAAATAGCGAAAGAATATCGATAGTGAGTTGAAACACCGACACATCGTATCGGTTTACCAGTTTTTGTTACTGATCGTAAAACGTATGAAGTGTAGATTTAAGTCGTTCTTGTTCATATCTCCGATGGAACAGCTTGTGTAAGAAGAACTGTTAATATCAAATGATTACTACACTGATTTTATAACAAAAATATATATTCCAAATTCCAAATAATACTCACACATTTGAATGTAATTGTTTGTAAATTATGGCAGTTGTCAATCATACTGTATTGTGTAAGTACTCGTTCTTGTCGTAGGAAACTTTTAAATAATAGTATTTGAAAAAAGTGTAGGCATCCACTTTGATATATATCAATACATATGTACAGCAAAAGTGTATTCATTATTCACACAAGCATAATAAATCGATAAAATACTTTTATAATTCTGCTTAAATTTAATATCTTTGCACATTAATTCATAAATATTGATATTTCATCAAATTTGATTTGCAAAGGAACTGTATGCAAGTGTATATCTAAGATTAAGTAGCTGGTCGACTTCTCCTTTTTTCTAAATTAAGGGCAAATAACATGTCAAAAGTTGGCAGTTGTTTTTTAAAATGGTGTTTACATTTTCTGCAAGATATACAACACATCATTTATTTCATGATATGTCTTCAGTTCAGAATTCTGCACCATCTTAAAATCCGGAATGATCACATTGATTCAGCATAATTGTGTCAGATATAAAGCAAAACATGTGTTGACTATTTTTGTCTCATTGGAATCATAACATATCCCCGTATGTATTTTTATATTGACCATTCAATATGTACTTAGTTTCGCTAATATTGTTGTTATTAGTATGAGTTGAATCATCCCTTCACTTCAACTGATGGTAGCACAGTTTTTATCAGCATGTATACTAACCTGACCCTGCTTTTAACGATTTTGCTGTTTCAGTTTTTGAATGTTTTGCAGTTGAATCTAGTTTGTTATCGTTTCCAATACTTGTACCAATTCCTCCAGCACCAGGAAGACAGGCATATTCATCCATCGGAACATCTGGAAGGTTAGAGCCATCGTCACATAAAACTTTCATACTCTTTCCCAGCTTTATATTCTTCACTGGGTTCTCCTTGTTGTCGTGACTAATTGCTTGAAAATTACCAGTATCATCTGCTGATTCAGCATTTGCTACTTCTTGTTGAGCGTTTGCCCCTTCTACGGAATCCATCGAATGTTTGATTGTTTTTGATTGAAATGTATAAATCCTGAAAAAAACAAATCAACCGTGGAACAACCTACAGAGATTTCAAATAAAATTGTTGGTGCTACTTATATTTCATAAATAATTTATGCAAGTCATAGATGTGTTGGACATTTTATGCATGGCTTAGACCGTTATATTCGAATTTTATCTAAATGTTAGCGAGGGACGAAATTATCGAATATAACAGCCCAGGCCATTTGAAAATGATAACAAATCTAGGGCTTGCATGAATTTTGACGATTCTAATGGGACAAATGCGGTAATTTAAAACGCTGAGGTGAGGGTATGTGTGCCGTGTGTTTGGCTGTTCTATTTACTTGTACCTTTGATAACTATTTACCCTTGTAAGATAGAGCTGACGATTTCAAATAAATCTATGGCTTGCATGAATTATTCCTAAACCCTTTCACTGCCAAGACCACCATTCAAAATTACCAAGACGTTAGAAATTAATAACAAGGCAAAATGAATTGAAGTATTTTTCATTCTACGTTAATCATAATGAAATTCGTTAACGACAAAAGATAGCATGAAAATGATTTTATTTGAGAGTATATATTGTAATTTTTTCTTTGTTCTTCAAGCCATTTTTTGGTCATGAAGATTTGTTCTTCAGCCTATTTTTAGTAATGAGGAATAAAGAACCGACCATTCATCTTTTGTTTTGCTTGATTCTAAATTTCATGACAACATATAAAAGAATACTTGTTTCACAGCGAAATGCTGAATCAGCAGAATGAACTTTTTTTACGAGGGGAGGAGGGGCAAATAAATTTTCAACATCAGGTTTCCAAAAAAAGTTCTTGTTCCTGTGTATATGTTATTGAAAAAATACTTCCTGAAAAAGTTTTTGAATAAGAATAACAAAATCCCATGACAAAACCGTTAACCATAATTATCGTTTAGTGGAGTATGCAATTCGTTAATAAGATGTGATAACATATAAAAGTATCTATGATATACAATAGATTTCTCACTGCAAAACACCATGTACTTTTTAAAAGGACATACCTAATGCAGCGTTATACAGAGATAAATAGTATCAATATTCCATATAAGGTTATCACGAAAAAGATCTCCGATTATACGATGCTGTAAACAAATTTTGTTATCCGTTATTAATTGACAGACATTCTAAGATAGTCATTGTTTAGCATGCAGCTTAATCATCATTCTTATATTGTGAGCACGACTTTCGAATAGTACACATTTCTCTGTAATCTTTAATCAAATTAAAACCTTTCCATTTCAAAAGTGTGTTATATACGGCTAGTAAACTTAACAAACATTTGTGAAGGCCGAAAATCTATTCATACTGAAATATACGGTTGAATCATAGCCTTATATAGGCACAATTTATTTCTTTTTGGTTCAATTTATCGTGTTATAAAAAAAAAATTGTATTTAACAAAACAAACAGCAAGAGAAAAGAAACTACTGAACATATTCATTGATAAAGGAAGAGCATATTTATATTGAAAAAAATATATAAGAAAAAATGGTGGGTTGAACCTGGTTTTATGGCTAGCCAAACCTCCCGCTTATATTCCAATATTAAAAATATCGCTAAAAGGACAACACTTCGTTACAGGAATACTGTGTAAAAAACAAACGTAAGAACACTCAGCACAGAGAAATACATAAATAAATAATATAATAGTACATTGCAATATGTAAACCGCAGAATAACAACGAATTTAAAACAGCACATCAGGACATTACAAACGAAATATAAACTGCACGTCGCATGAATGGATCAACGTCACAAAAGGTGACGTATTTGTTGTGACGTTTATATTATTACAGGTAAATTTCTAAAAATAAAATAGATTTGTATTATAGACGCGTACAAGAATATTAAATTGGAATTGAGTTTGGAATGGTGTTATTTTATATATTTTCTAACCATGACAAGAATATTAAAATGGATTTGTGTTTGCAATGTTGTTATTATTTGTATTTTCTAACCATGTTGGTTTTTCTTCTAAATCAAAACTGTGTATAAACAAAAAAAAAACTCCTGTGCATATAGTTATTTTAAACTTAAAATCATATAAATGATGTAGCTGAATTGACTTTTACCTACATATAGAAAATAGAAATGAAAATAAAATAACTGTAATACAAGGCAATGTATTGATTGTTAGAACAAAGAGATTTTATTCATGATGAACAAAATGGCTTCCTTAAAGGTAGAAGTAACATTGACCATCTATGTACATTGACATTGACTCTAATTATTGAATTAAACTAGAAAATTAAGAAAGTTGTCAACATTCACAGCTTTTATAGTTTTTAAAAAAGCGTATGATACCGTTAGTAGAAAATTATTGTTTACTAAATTGGATGATTTAGGAATTAGTACAAAATGTTTATGTACATTGTAAGCAATATATTCACATTTAGAATGTTGTATTAAACTTAAAGGCAATATGGCAGAATGGTTTAGCGTTGATTCAGGTTTGAAACAAGGATGTTATTATCGCCTTTTATGTTTAATATCTTTATTAATAGTTTAATTGGTGTTATCAAAACACTAGATATTGGTGTAGACATTGATGGTGAAAAAGTTGGTATACGTTTATATGCTGATGACATTGCATTTATTGCTGAAAACGACAATGTTTTACAAGTTCTATTAGATGTATTTTAAATATAATTGATGTGTTACCAATTGTAAGAATGTAAACTTAGATAAAACTAACGTTGTCCATTTTAGGAACCCTTCCGTTCAACAAACTTCAAAATCTTTTTTGTTAAAGGATAATACAGTACAAATAGTATCTTGTTACCAATGTCTGGGTCTATTGTTGACAGAATTTCTCGACTATAATGAGATGGCTAAAGCCGTAAGAGGTCTGCAAGTCGAGCTCTAAGTCTATTGATTGTTAAAAGTAAGGCACATGGTTGTTTCCAGCACAGAACCGTTACAAAATTATTTGATACTTTGGTCTGGCCAGTCATAAGCTATGGTGCATCAGTTTGGGGTACTCGTTATTTTTCTTACATAAAAGCTGTCCATAACAGAGCAACTAAGTTTTTTTTATGGGTGTTGGCAAGTATACACCAAATGATGCTATTAACGGGGACATGGGCTGGAGACCACTTAGTGTAAAACAATGGACAAGATGCAGTGTCATGGACAATGACAAAATAAATTATGAAGTGTTCAAATGGTCACATAAAAATGCTGTAAATAATAAACAAAAACTGATGTAATAAAGTCATGAAAAAATTTAAGATTGTAATTTTGAATTGTATGCTAGTCTTAATGGTGCGCTTCATAAAAATATTGTTTGACGACTTGAAGATATTTTATTTAATAAATATATTGAAAAATGGCAAATAACAATTTTGTCACAGAGTAACATTAACAAGCTTCGTACTTATAAGCTATATGAATCATAATGTTGTACAGAGTTATATTTAAAACACAATGTGTCTATTATGATGGAGAGTTGTCTCATTGGCACTCATACCACATCTTCTTATTTCTATTAAATTAACAAGTGCTTATTCAAAATTTAGATGTGGCGTTGCGCCACTTTAAGTAGAAACAGGATGACATGAGAATAAACCAATTGATAAAAGATCTTGTTTTGTGTGTAAAAATGAAATTGAAGATGAAAAACATGTATTTACTTCATGTCCTTTATATGCTGACCTTCGAAATATATTGTATAGTGAAGCAGTAATACATGATGATCAATTCTATAACTTGTCTAATGACGAAAAGTTTGTATTTTTATTCAGAAATGAAGAACTATGTTAAGTAGTTGCTAAAACCGGCTTTAATATTTTATGTAGAAAAACAAATTTCTTATTTATATATATCTGAGAATGTAATTTAAATCTTATATATATTGTTTCGAAATTATGTAAAATATAGTATATAATTATTAATTTAATAGTCTCTCATAATTCTTAATAGAATGGCGCTTGTATATATTTTAGTATTTAAATCAATGATATTTTACTGTTAGTTTAAATATACGCTATGTTTTATTTCACCCACTATTTTTTCTTAAAATGTCCTGTACCAAGTCCGTTTCTAAGTATGTTGGCGTTTGCTGTTGTTGTAGTTCAATGTTTCTGTTGTTCCGTTGTTGTCCTCTTATAGTTGATGTGTTTCTCTCGGTTTTAGTTTGTTACCCGGATTTGTTTATGTTTATTCGAATTATGACTATTGAACAACGGTATACTACTGTTGCCCTTATTTATATAATGTATTTGTATGTTTTATGTTATACAAGTGGTGAGACTTTATTAGAATATTGAATCTGAATCTGAACCCTAAATCTGATCTTAAACATTTTGTATTTAACCATAAGGTCCTGGTGTACAAAGTCTACACGCTAGACTCCAGACAAACAGCCCAGGCTTCTATCGAGCCAATAAGATTGATTTAAATAATTTTCCCCAAAAAAGACAAGACAAGACAGGACAAGACAATATTTTATTTGAGTCTCACCTCTTCCAAAACATTTAAACATTATCATAACTTCACATATAAAACAAGAGCCACTCTAAAAAGAGTTATGAGAGACTATAAAATTTATATATATATATACACACATAGAAAATAAAACATAAAACATAATACAAATATACATTTTAAGAATAGAATACACATTTTCTTTTCAATAAAATATCATAGCAGATTGTGGCAGTGTAAAAGTAAACATTTTGATCACTAAACAAAAATATAAATTTATTGTCCTCTGACATACTATAAAAATCATGACAAAAAGAATTAGCATGACTAAACAAAACCGCACGTAAATCTGCATATAGTGGACAACTCAAAATTACATGTTCCTCATCTTCAATTTTATTATCGACAATTAAAAATACTCTATCATCAATATGTTGGTTATGTTACCTGCCCGTTTCTATTTTAGGGGAATTTTGCAAAAACGCTCCTATATTTCCCTGCAACTATTTTACAAAGATAATTTTCTACCTTGAATTCTGTTTTCAACAATTTATAAGTACGTAGTTTGGCATATTTATTCGAAACCAAATTATTATACCATTCATTTTTATATAAATCAATAGCTAAGCATTCTATATCTTTAATTACATTTTTGGTTAACAATATACAGTATGGTTCAGGATTATATTCTTTAAACTTAATCATTACTCTAAAGCACCAATTTTAATTAGTTTGTTTCCGTACTTATACGACCACATGAATAATCGTTTGTTCAGTCTTTCATTGTCCATTTTACAAAATCTTGATCATATTCTAAAATCAGCTGGCCATTGCTTTACATTGCATGATATCCAGCCCATATCACCATACAGAGATAAGTTTGGTGTATATTTTCCTACACCCATACAAAATCTCATCGCTTTGTTTTTAACTGCATTTATACAAGAGACAAGAGTCCGGCAGATGGCAAGTTTATCGTTTAGACTGTGTACATTATATACACGCCCTCATTAGTGTATCTAATTTATAAATCAATAGCATGTACCTAGATATATCATCAATAGAGTTCAACAATGAATCACTCAAATTACCTTAATATAAGTTGTGATACAATCCTCACATGTTCTACGTCCGAAGTCTCGTTTAAACGAAATAGTTCAACCTGTTACACAATGATTATGATAAATATATTACGACACAAATCAATATAAGAAATAAATAAAATATTAAGTGATGCATGTACTGCTATGTTGGAAGTCACTAATTAATTCTAATCGATGTGGAATTATGTTTGTTTTAAATTAGTATAGCTTGTCATATCTAAGATGACATTGTGTGTTTTTTAACATCTAGATGGCAATATGTTTTTATTTGAACATCACACGACATTTCATTCCATATTAAACTTCCGGGGAGTTGCCCATATCTAAAAATAGCAATTTGACTTATTGAGAATCGGTTTATATAGTGAATGCAAATTATTACATGTTCCTTATTTTTAGAATAACTCTTATTTGTTTATGTAGGTTTATCTTTCAGAATTGTTTTGTTTTAACAAAATCCATCATCATATCTGTTTATAAAGTAATTGAATGAAATGCTTATGTGACTTTCTAAAACATGCATGTATCATACCCTTGTATGCAAGAAAAATGCTTACATTCTTTTTTTTTTTTTTTTTTTTTTTTTTTTTAATAAATATCTTTTATTACATATCCGCTGTTTTAACATTTTACTCGGATTACAGCGTTAGCCCGAGTATCCCTGTTATTAGTTACTGAATCTCCTGGGAAAAAGCCCAGTAAAAAGTAATCAATTATTATCAGTAATAACATCTACATTCTTTTAAATACAGTGTATACATATAAAGAATAGAGTCCCATGGTATAAATTACGTGTTTACGGAACATCAATTTGCTTTCCGAAATTATGCTCATTTTCCCATATTTATTTTAATCATTGACACAGTTACAGGTGGCACGGTAGTATTTCCAGGCCCATAGGGATAATGTTAGCCTTTAAAATTTTCACCACTTTCTAGTACTGCTCAAAATTCTATATACACAGTTAACTGAAGTACTTTCATTATAATATTCAAAAATGAACTTGAATATGTATCATGACCGTTTACTTTTTTTGCTATCTTTAAAAACATAAGGCCACTAGTGCGTTTAGGTCTTTTATCATGCAGTGAATACAAAATTTAAAAAACTTAAGTAGGGTACACAAAAGAGCAACCTAAATTCCGGAATGCAAATATTACCGTGCCACCTACAGACATGACCAGTTTGTGCCGTTGACCTGTTTACTAATTCATTGACCGAAAACTAGAGCAAAAACGCACAAGTTTGTAGTTAACATTAGATTAAACTAGTTTGGTAAGTATTATATACTATTCATTAGTAATTATGTCAGAGAAACAAGTGTTTATAATATTAAAGTGTTAAAATAACAGGAAATATAATAAAAAAATAAATCAACATGTGATTTGATACCAACATACTCAAAATTACTTGATGTAAAACAAAACAGTGCTGGTTTATTTTCATTCTACTCTCAGTGTAAAATAAAAAAAGGGTTTTGCTTTGTTTGTTTATGCATAGAAAAAAAAAGTTAACATCAACAAAACAAAATCCAAAAAAGGTATATTAACTTTAATAACCTTTATCTACTGAGACATCATTCATACATTTCATTTACATATATTTTTGAATATTTTTTAACATGTGACTTATGTTTTTATTTCTATACTCCATCAGATAATATCTGTATTTATATTCTTGTTTAAATATTTCATAAACATTCACCTGATTTGTCTTATTATTTGAAATACAATTACATTTGTGCAGAGTGAATAAGATAACTGTCAAGAGATAATTAATATCATTTAATGAGTTGTCTTGTATTTTATATCCTACCACCAACTGTTTTAAATTTATTATATGTTTATCAATATGAAGTTTATTTAATAGAATACAAATCTTATTCCAAAAATCTTTAAAATAAGTGCATTCTATGAAATTGTGTTGATAAGTATCTGGTACCCCACACACTGAACAATAATTGGTGTCCTTGATTCTCCATGTGAAAAGATATGTACCTACAGGTAATATATAATGTAGCAATTTCCATCTAATTATTTTTAATTTATTGTCCTCTACGTAATTAAAAATAAAATTTAATGTGTATTTGATATTTAGTTGATTTTTATCTGTATTTAGTTCTTTCCGCCATCTTGTAAACCCTATAGGACTATCTTTACTAACATTTGATTATATGAATATCTTTATTATTATTTTTTTGTAAATCATATATAATTGCACCTTGCTTTAAGGAGAAAAAAGTCAAATCACAAAAATACCGAACTCCAAGGAAAATTCAAAACGGAAAGTTGTTTTTTACACTTAACAATAGTTTTTGATGAGTCTTCTTTTTTGTAAAATGTATTTCCAATGTTTTGGTATACTCTTTCTTATTTGTATTATTTCAGCAATCCTTTCTAGAGAAAACAAATTATAAAATGATTAAGGTGGCATATTTGAATAGCACATTTGCGTCTAGTCCTTTGTTTTCATATTTATTCTTATTCTGTATTTTCGCTAATTTATAGTTTGAATCAAGACTAAATATTTTCGTTCGTTTTTGCTCTTTTTATATTTCGTTCGTGGTGTCCTGGTGTGCTGTTGTAAATTCATGGTAGGTGTCCATTGTTATTCTGCAGTTTACATGTTGTAATGTACTATTATATTATTAATTTATGTATTTCTCTGTGCTATGTGTTCTTGCGTTTGTTTGTCCTGTCACATAGTGTTGTCAAATTAGCGGTATTTTTAACTTTGTCATATAAGCGGGAGGTTTGGCTGGCCATAAAACCAGGTTCAACCCACCATTTTTCTTCTCAAAATGTCCTGTACCAAGTCAGGAATATGGCAGTTGTTATCTCCAATCCGTTTCTATGTATGTATTGCTTTTGTTGTAGTTCAGTATTTCGGTTGTTCCATTGTTTTCCTCTTATAGTTGATGTGTTTCCCTCGGTTTTAGTTTGTTACCCGGATTAATTTTTGCTTAATCGAATTATGACTATTGAACAGCGGTATACTACTGTTGCCTTTATTTTTCTTTATTACAATTCTACATATGTTCGTTCTAGATATTGCATAAATCGTATCGTCCTGTACTGTGTATGATGTCTATCCTGAAGTTCAGAAATGTAGAACTACATTTATTTGATATCACAAGACTAAGTGCTTTGAGCTTCATTTTGAAGCTGAAAACATTATAGTTTATTATTCCTTTGTTTACAGTTGTGTATATGTAATGTTTTTTTTTAATCTGTTATATCATCGGTGCTTTTCCCGTACTGATTGTATATGCAAGAATAAATAAGACCAACGATTAAAAAGGGAAATGTTCTGATCTTAAACAAACTATTCTTTATTCCTCCACTTTTTGATGTGCAGGTCCAAAGTAAGAAGCTTTGTTAGTGGTTGTCTTTTTCACATCTTAATGTTTTAACTTTATAAAATAAAGTTGACGACAGGACAGTGGTCTTGATCTTTTCACAACGTTTAGAGAATTGGCAGGTTATTGTTCCATGTATATATGTACACAACTTTTCCTTATATCTATAAAAGTGCGTTTGTTATGTTACACCTGAAGTATATAATCAACTTAAAGTGACATATTTGTTGTCTCCGATCTTGTTGTTCTTGTTATAAGTACTTCTTTGAAACCTTAAGAGATACATGTATCTACATTGTTGTTAAAGTTGTTCATGGGATCCAAACGTAGCCTGTACTGTAAGGTATAAAAGACCCTGGTATGACACAATGTGAAACAATTAAAAAGGGCACAATCGGTCTAACTGAAAATACCATTTGAAACAAAATACTTTATAGCAGACAGCAAGCATCAACTATCGCTCGATAACGGGCCACATAAAGAAATTGGCAGGATAACATGTATTATGGATGCTCAACCCGTTTTATAAACTGTGACATCGACGTAATCACACAACATAACTTAGTATAAAGTTATAAAAATCAGTTGGATAGGGCTTCCAACTTCTTGTTCAGCAATAATAGTACCAAAACAATGTTTATTGTTTTTAAAGACCGAATGCACCGTAGGACCAAACAACAACAAATACTGTGTCCTGAAAAAAAGATTTAGTCAGATTGAATCAAAACCAAAACATGGGTGAAAACATAATAAATGTTAGAAATTGAACAGAAATAAAATCTAAGGAACATTTGTACAATCGTTTTATTTTTAAAACATGTCAAAAAGCGTCAACAATAGATGTTTAATAATGACTGGTGTTCGTATTGTGGAAACCATGAACTATAGGGAGAGATAAATTTCCGTTTGACGTTTGAACTAGAATTGATTGAGGTCCTTCGTGTATCTTACTATTTGTGTTGTTCGAGCTTGAGATGTTTTTGCTCTGTGACTTGTTTTTGACAAATTTGATATTAATACAACAAATTTTAGCAACTAAAAAACACAACGAAAAAGATCAGGTAAATATTTTGCTTATAGACAGTCAGGAACCTCTGGCCTTTGTTAGTGTTGTATTTTTTTTAAAATTTTGGGTCATCTATATATTTCAGAGTTAAGTGTGACGTTCATTTTCGCTGAACTATATTCTTTATTGTTTAGGGGCTAGCTGAAGCCCGCCTTCGGGTGGTGTGGGGTTTTATCAATGTGTTGAAGAACCATTGGTTGCACAAGTCAAAGTTTGAATAAAGATTGTCAAAGTAAGGTTATATTACTAGTGGGGTTTCTGCTATTATAATTTTTTTTTATTTTAATATTCATGGTTTGATAATGTCAATAAAAATACTATTTGTCCGTTTCATTCAATATGCAATATACACTAATATATGGTTAATTATCGGGTTTAAGTTAGTTATACACTTTGGGATACGGCGTGGTTTCTTATCCAAACACACCTATCTCTCACTATATAACTATTTTATAAATCGGCAGCATCTGCCACCTGCAAAGCGTCGATTCTATTTTCAATAAAGTTTTCTTTAAGTAGCGTAACAAAGCGCTGTTTATTTGCATCCTTTGCTAAGAACATTTCTTTCTTCACCCGAAGTGGCATGTATTTCGTGAAGTTCACTATATTAGACACAATACCTTGCCTACGCCTCATGTGATTAACATCGTTGGTCGAGTGGTT